AAGGCTGTGACAAAATCAAACCTGAACATGGGGTGACGAAAACAGAAAGACGAAAGACCAAAAAGGACGAAAACGCACTGGCCCAGGACATGGGAAACGAGGACTATTTAAACACATGAGGGAGGGGAACCCCAGGTGTACACAACAGGTAATCAAGACATGACGAGACACCAGACGTGACACTGGTGGTGCGTTCATGGGTCATGTGAGAAATCAGCCGGCGTGACTAAGCGCCGACTCAGCAGCTCCTGTTCAACTTTTTGAGTTTTACAGAGCGGTGAAGACACTCGGCCGCTTAAACCAGGCTGAAGTTGAGAAATCGCTAAAAATAAATTACAGTAAACTGAGGAAGTTCAGAGACAGAAGAGACCCGTGACGTTCCCCATATGATCCCATTTCTGTGATGAGAAGTGAAAAACATCAGGATACATTTGAACAACAAAAGCTGTTCAACAAAGCAGCAAGACGCTTCACCTCCATCCATAAATCCATTATTTAACCAGTCTTTTAACTCAGAAATCTGAACATGAATGTGTCTTTTGAGCCCCAGGTTAAACAAATCTTTACTGAGGGGTTAAAGGTCAAAGGATTTCAGCCTCTGGGGGAAATAAACATGCAGCTGAGAATGTTTTTATGTGGAAATGATAAACAAAAAGAGACTATTCAGTGTAATAAGGTGAGGGCTGAATAATTAGGAAAGGTTCAATCCCACCTGTAACCGGCCTTTACAATTTAGGTCAGTGTTTGGCCTTTTTTTTTTATAAACTGAGGATTTGACAGGCCAAAAGCTCATTAGAAATGTTGATAAAGTGGCAAAAAGTGTTAAAGAATCTATTCTATTCTAGTATCAAGAAGTCCATACATACACAGACTCTCTATCTGAGATGTTGTCTCCTTAATTTGGCTGACAAATCTTCTTATATTGACCCGGCAGGCAGACGGATTTTAACGTTTGTCATTCAAACCCGGAATACACAAGCTCCCATTTGGAGCTAAAAGCCTTTTAAGAGAGTTGATATTAATTTGCCCCTGTTTTTAATGTTTCAATTTAATGAGAAATGTTGTCAGCGGTGTTTAATGTTTTATAGAACAGAATAGAGCTTGGATTTAAGAGGCCTTTGAGTACTGAGATGAAGATCCTGCTGACACGCTAACACACACACACACACACACACACTAACTCACACACACACACACACACACACGCTAACACACACACACACACAGCGGGAGATTCAGCCTGATCAGCACAGAGATCAGAGCTCTGATGAAGCACAACGTCAGTTCGATTAGCATCCAAACCTCCTGCTGTCAGCACAGCTGCAGCATTTTCCTCCTCAGCCTCTGAGAGGGCCGTTTATTCCCAGGTAAAAGGGCGGATTAACTGCGTGGCTAACTCTCCGAAAAGCCCCAGGCGGTTCAACATCCACGGCCAAAAAGAAAAACCCTAAAAAAAAGCACACCCAAGATCCACGATCCCACCGTCTTATCCTCACTGTTTCAGTCCTTGGCTGAAATAAATCATGGAATCTGAATACTTTTCCTTGAGTTTTAGAGAATTTCCATGCCTTTGTTTTTGTTTTCCTGCATATTTCCAGACAAAATAATTTACATTAGAAAAGAACACTGAGGACAAAATAAAATAAAAAACAACCCAAGGCTGATATAGAGGCATCATTACTGAGTTATTACTACAGTGTGACTTTCCTGAACAGAAGCCAGACAGGAAGAAATCTTATTAAAGCGCCAAAAACTGCAGAATGAGGCAGGTAATTCGTCCCTAAAGAGGTTTGTTTGTGTCTGTGACGGCCTGAGATGTTAACCCAGAAGAGGAGAGCAGAAATAAGCATGAAGCAGCCACTGTTTACACGCCGTGCGAACGCAGAAACCCTCAACAATGTCTCATTGTTCCTGCCTGGAGATGCTTCCTGCTCTGACCACTGGCTTCAGGAACTCACACCGGGAAAGAAAGAGGGAATTTACTTTGTTTCTATCGGCTGATTGTGACCTGGACATTTCAAATTCAAACAGGCCTCATTTAATCCAGACAGAGAGTAAAAGTTGGGAAAAAATGCGTATTGGCCGACAGGAGAAAATGCTGATCCAGACTTCCAGATCTATTTTATTCCGTGTTTTCCAGACTAAAATAATCCATTACTGATGCTGAGTTAATAGACTATTCTCTATTCAGGTTGTTTATGTGTTTTTCTTTTTTAATACAGTTTCGTTATCATTTGCACTTTTTTCTGTTCACTGATGCCATTTCCGTTTGTTATTTATAATTTTGTCTGTTTTGTGTTCATCCCTGAACAAACAGGTCAGTTTCTCTTTACCAACCACTGTGTGTTATTCAAAGTCCCCTAATTCAGATGGCTAGTTGTTATCAGAGCAAATCCCTGTTTAAAGTGCGTCTGACAACTATTAATTAGATAAATAACTCTAAACTTTAGTACATGCTCCGATAGGCCGGGATCGGATCGGAAGTTAAAAAGCTGGACCGGGACATCCCTAGTTCGAAAGGTCCAAAATGTCATCTGAACTGGGTCCCACATCTAAAAACCACCTCCTGAAACGAGCTGCTCAGTTTTCCCGTTCTGGTCCTCCATGTTCGGACATATCTGACCGCGTCAGAAGGAGGCCGGCCGGTATCTTTCCCATCTGACATCCTAAACACCGACTCTCTCCCTCTTTTCAAAACAAAACTCAAAACCCACCTGTTTAAAATATCTGACCCACCTCACCGCCCGTAACTCTGACATTCCCCTCATTCTGCCCAGTTTGAGTCAATCCATTTTGATTTAATTAATTTATGATGTATTTATTTATGATGTATTTAAGAATTATATATACCCTGTATATATCTAGCTCTCAGTTACAGAAAACATATTTATTGTGTAGGAATAAGGTCTTAGCTCTGTTACACCGGTAGCCAAGTAATCGACATTTTGTTGTCAAGATCCACCTTGTGTTTTTTGTACAACGACAATAAAGGAAGTCTAAGTCTAAGTCTAAGTCTACTTTGTATGTTTGCTTATGTTTCAATGTTGTTCTAATGATGGTAGCCTTTTTAAAGTGTCCTTGAGTGGCATGAAAGGCGCTTTTTAAATTAGATTTATTATTATTATTATTATTATTAATATTATTATTATTATTAAAAGGCGTAGGGCTCACCGACTGGCTGCTCCACCTTGCTGAGCAGGTCCAGAGCACACACGGCGGTGGCGGGCCCACAGCTGGTGGACGGCGAGGACTCGCACAGCTTCAGGGTGTATTTCACTTTGTTATCTTGGTCTATGGCCTCCCATTTATAACTGCAAGACAAAAAGAAAAAGCAGCGGTTTTAGATCAAACTCAGAGCAGACAGTCATTTTTTTTAATTTCACAGCAGTCAAACAGAAAGCGGGCATCAGAATCTCCCGGTTTGGGTTGAGCAAAAGTAAAAAAGGATCAAATACTGAAACCTGAGAGTCTCCAAACAGCAACAAGTGCTGTCAGACAAGTTGGTTATTTGATTAAACGACTTATCATTTTACAGCCATGATGATGTCTCACATTAATATATATGTCTGAGCTGAAATATTACAGTGGAAGCACACACACGTCTTGTTTTAATGGCAATTTTTTGTTCATTCCCATAACTGAAACAGAATATATGAAGTATTTCAGATTAATAAACATCAAAGGAAAGCTAGAAAAGAAGGCAATCATATCAATTTCACCCAGAAAATCCTGAGATTTTCATGGTTTCTACAACTCAGAATAAGCAATTTACAAATGCTGCTTTGACTTATTTACAGGTTTCATCTGAAGTAACAGTTTTTCCTGCTTTACATTATAAAAACAATAAGGAGAGTCTACCTGATCATGTTTACAAATGAGCTCAGAGCAGGTCACGTGCTCCACTTCCCTCTTTAGTTTACCTTTGATCTGAGACTCCATTTCCATTAAATTACTTCAATTGTACTTTCAATTTCCCAGCATGGGGAAGCAGCTCTTTTTTAAGTAGATCATTTGAATACCAAATCATCTCCACTGAACAACAAGCTGCTTAAGCATCGACACAGTTCTGTTAGATCTGCTCTTAGTCCAAATGTAATGGCAGGGAAATAAAAAAGTATTAAACTGGAGGCGTTTCTGGGTTGGTGCTGAGTCAATATTTGAACAGTGGAGGAGTTTAAACAGCACATGTAACTATTTCAGACAGATATCCAGCTGTTATTTAGACTCATATTGAGTCTTGTGTGACGAATTGAAGTAGGCTGTCAACAACATACCGACAACGACACATGACAGTTTTGTGTAACGTTAGCATTTAGCTTTGTTTACTCTTAGCATGATGAAAACAATTCGTTCAATAAAAAACTTTACCGACACAATGTGGCTCTGAGTCATAGCTAATTGCCTCATATTTAGGTTTGGGCATTGAAAGCTACCAGGAAGCTCGCTTTTTAGACCCAAAACTACTTTCATGGCCGTTATAGCTATGTAAGTTAGCTAGCTATTTAGCTAGCTAGCACCGGTGGGAGCGGTTCCGTTGGACCGGAGCTCGGGGCTGAAAGGTGACGGTGTGAATGAAACAAAGAGCCGTAAGTGTTTTCTGGCTGATTTCAGCTGGAGGGAAATGCCAAAGGTCGCGTGATAGCACACGAGCGTGTCTGGAAAACGAGCAATTTGGCCCCAGCTGACCAACAGCTGCGTGGGCTCGCGCCAGTTAGCACGAGCGGTTCAATTCTTTGATGTTTTTTCCGCTTTTCTCCCCTCTCCATTTGCTCTTAACTGCGGGGTTTCTGCCCAGGAGGTGTGTTGGTTACCTGCAGAGGTCCTGGTACCACGGACCGGCGTCCCCCTCCGCCACCGAGCATCGGACCGACAGGCATCCCAAACACGCCACGAGCCCCAGAAACAGCTCCAGGCGGTTTATCCCGGTGGGTTTATCCTTAAAAAATGGCATTTTTGTTTGAGTTGGATCCGGTCTGTGGACTAAGCCCGACTAAGACGACATGATACAGCAGAGTGCACCAGCTCTGACCCGGATCGGTAGGAAGTGAATGCATCACATGACAGGACGTCACATGATTCTCACGATGCTTGGGGGGTGAGGCGTTCAAAGTCCGTCGGAAACTCTGATTCCATAAACAACTGCAATCGTCACCAGGTATAATGTTTTCGTTGTATTATTTGAACGCGTAATTTTTGATAAAATTATTTGTTTTCCCAACTTGTTTCAGCCATGAATAAAATCTACCCAAATGCAAACTGTCTTAAATCTTTGATAAAACACAGGTTTGCTTTAATTTAATGTACATACTGTTGTACAGGCCTACTTCAATAACAAACTAGTCAGAGTAAAGAAAGAAATTAATGTTAAAATGTCTAAACCCTCTCCTCAATTTCTTTTTGTCTAAACATTTTTTGGATATTCGTTCATTTTTTACCCCAGTTCTGTATGTGACTAATTTCAAATGATTGGAATAAGTGACTAATTTCAATCATTAAAATGTGTAACATTCAGAGGACAGAACAAAAGGCTGCCAATATACAAACAAGAGCTTTGTGGTGTTCTTCAGTAGGTCTGGAGAACTATTTCTGTGTTTCATAGGGACTTTAAGTACAGTACAGTATATCTGTTATTTGTGTTGTGCGAGAAGGAAGTGAGCGTGTGTGTACTCTGTGGTCAGGCTCAGGTTTTCCTCTTTATTTACTCATATATTCTCCGCCTTCCTTTGCTGGATTAGTATTTTATTTTTATTTTTTTAACTAAGACTTCATACTGTTGTAGTATTTTTATTTACTGGGCTTGCTATCAGAAAAAATGAAAACAATATCCCTGGATTTTTTTCATATAATTGCGACTCAAAACCAGTCACTCAAAACCAAAACTATATATCTGAACAGATTATGTAACAGATTATGTTTATTAGTTTCCATGCAGATCAATGGGTATTTCCTTTTATTATTTGCTCTTTAGCTCCATCCAGTGGTCATCCTGACTCACTGCAAAAGCCCTTGAGGCAGAAGAAGCCTGTGCTTATTAGTTCACATTTATGAGCCTAAAAAGTGACAGATTTTTTCATATTTTCCCCTTATATCATATCAGTTTATGTCTGTTTAGCTTAAAACCCAGAATCAATTATTTCCCAACATGCCTTTGCACTGAAATCTGCACAAACCCTCAGTTTCCTCAGCACAGGAAATGTCCCATCAGCCCCAGGTTTAAATCAGAGGGCCTCAATTAGAGAAACCGCTCTCACCTGCTGCCTCCCAGCAGAGTTCCTATTTTTAAGTCAAAGACATCTGAGTGTCCTTTTTGGTTTTTAGTTGTAGCGAGCATAATGGTGCTGAGTTTTATGATGTGGTTTCTGGTTTTCTGTTGCGTGTCAGCAGGTACAGATTTGCTCATTTGTGTTTCTGTTTTCCTCTGATGTTGTGTTGCTAAAAATCTCTGTGTAGTTGCAGGTGTTCCTGTTGAGATAAAGAATGGAGCGGCTTCCTCTGCCTCAGGTTGGTGTGGTAACCTTTAACTCTACTTTTTACAGTAAACCACCATGATGATACCTCTTTATTTGGCCTATAGGTAACGCTACCACAGTTGATGCTGTTCTCCAGCTGAATGCAACTGGGACCAAAGGTAGGTTTCAGAAGTTTTATGTTGAATAACTTCTGGTAATAATGAAGTAAAAGTGGAATATATGTATGTATATATATATATATTTTTTTTTTAAGTTGGTGGCAGCTCTTCAAACACCACCCAGAATGAAACTACCACTTCCCCAGGTTGGTTCTAATTGCTCTTGAGTAGCTCTTTATGGAGGCTTAATTCTAGATATCATTTTTATTTTGTTTTCTTGGTGCAGCATCCAAGCATCCCGTCTTAAATGAAAGTGCAGAAACCTTAGCAGGTATATTTATTTTTCTTTAAATTTATTCCATAAATCCTGTGGCTTGACGTGGCTAACTTTAAAAACAATAATTAAATGAATAATTGGTTAAATCTGCTCTCCTGTCATAGACTTGCATGGCTATCTGGGGCTAGATGAAGGAGATATTTTGTTGGCAGTAAGTTAAATGGGTCTTTTCTTATTTATTTTTTTCAATGACTGGAAAGTGAATTTTCATGGCATGTCTCTGACATGTCCTTTTTAACTGAGACTTTCTAAATGAGCTCACCTCATTTCTCAGTTGGCCGTCTGGATTATCTGACTCTCTGTTTAAATGAAACTCAACAGCAGGACAGAAACGCTGTGGACTCGGTGTGGTCAGGTGGCGTAATCCCTTACGTAATCAGCCCAGAACTCGGTAGGTTTTTGCATCTTCCATTCATCTTACTGCTTTTTAAACATCCGTACTAGTCGTCTACTTTTTGCCCTGAGCAGCTCACCGAGGGTCTGAGATCCAGGCGGCCTTCAGGATGATCTCGGGGTCGACGTGCATTCGCTTTCAGCCGCACGCCGCTGAGTTCAACTACCTGGAAATCAAAGATGGCAACGGGTTGGATTCCTTATTTAAGATTCAGGATTTTGAGCGAACTCGTTGCAGAAATTTGACTCAAACTCTCTAAACAAAATGCATTAATCTTGAAAATGGAGACAGTGTAAAGCTGATAATGACTCATTTCCACCTCTTAAACTCTGGATAGAAGCCCTTTTATGACTTAAAGTGAGAAATTCTAAGAGAAATTGTCATTTAAAATCTTGATTTGAGTGAATAAATGCGCTGTAGTTGCATGCTTGGATTAATCTGCTCCAATCGTAATAACGTGGAACATTTCCACCCCTCTTGACTCTTTGAAATGTCTCCAGCTGTGCGTCGTTTATTGGCTGCCGGGGGGGGTCCCAGCCGGTGTATTTTTCTGAGTCCTGCTCGGCGGGGAACCTGGCCCACGAACTGCTGCACGCTTTGGGTTTGTACCACGAACACACCAGGAAGGACCGCGACGACTACGTCACCGTCAACTGGCCCCACATCAGCCCAAGTAAATGCTGCTTCCAACGGGTCTATTTGTGTTTTAAACCAAAAATCCCCACTGGTCTCACATCAACTTAAATCTGCACGTTTCAACCCGATGAACTGACTTTAACCCTATAATGCCAAATGTGTCATATTTGATTCAGACGGTTTCTGAAGTCTTTTGGATCTGAGACTTTTTGCATCATTCGGTGGTAAAAGCTTTGCTCAAACCCCTGTTGTACACATTCAGATATACCTGATAACAGCCAGTAGAAGACTACACCAATGTATAGTTTTGACTGCTTCCCATGGGTCTGATTTAGTGTTTTAAACCAAAAATCCCCACTGGTCTCACATCCACTTAAATCTGCATGTTTCAACCCGATGAACTGACTGCAGTTTACTGAAGTTCTGTGTGTGTTTTAGGCCTCAGAAATGATGCCAACCTGCTGTTTCTGGATTGTTTTTAGTTGTTGATATTCACTCAAACTTATATTTGATTCATCACAGAAAAACGTACAGAGATATTTTCCAGTTTTGCTGTTTGTGTTTGATTTTAATTGTCACTGGATGAGGCTGCTTTAAATCAGACTGGTTTAACCCTATAATGCCAAATGTATCATATTTGATTCATACGGTTTCTGAAGTCTTTTGGATCTGAGACTTTTTGCATCATTCAGTGGTAAAAGCTTTGCTCAAACCCCTGTTGTACACATTCAGAATATACCTGATAACAGCCAGTAGAAGACCACACCAACGTATAGTTTTGACTGCTTCCCATGGGTCTGACTTAGTGTTTTAAACCCAAAATCCCCACTGGTCTCACATCCACTAAATCTGCATGTTGATCCAAGAATAAAACAAAACAGAAAATGACTTTTTTTGGTTTGAATTCCTTATTTGGCCTTTTAACAAAATAAGTACTTTTTTTTATTTTTTTATATTAATTCATTACTATGCGATAAGTCAAGATTATTTTTTGTGTAGTCTTCTTTCCCCTGTTATCAGGTGTATCTGATTGTGTAAAATAGGATTTTGAGCACTTTTTTTACCATTAAATTATGCAAAAGGTGTCAGACGCAAAACATTTCAGAAACCGTATGAATCAAATACGATATATTTGGCATTACAGGGTTAAGTTTCCTGTATCTTCAACTTTGCTGTCTTTGCTCTTTTAGGCAAAAAAGACAACTTCAAAGTGAAGAATGGAAACACCCTCAACTCGCCCTACGACTTTGGCTCCATCTTGCACTACGGGCCGTAAGCTGTTCGACACCTTCTGGGTTAATTTGAGCTCCACTCGCCCGTTCTTTGTGATTTTTCTCAGCTGGAGTTGTTTTCAGGGCTTATTTCAGCGTGGACGGAGGCCAAACTCTGGAGCCCAAACAGAGCGGCGTGCAGATCGGTCAGAGAAAAGGTCTGAGCCAGCTGGACATCCAGAAGCTGAACATCCTCTACAACTGTGGTAATACTTTGAATTTACCACAATCCTGTTCAAAAGTGTAGACTCGAGTCACTCAAACTTGCTTTTGTCTTCCAGGTGGATCACGCAAAGGCTGAGCAGAGCCACGGACATCTGAATCTAAAGGATAATAAAGGTTTTGTTACAATAAGTCTGGGATTCCTCGATCTTTAACCTGCCTAAACCAGATATCAGTGTTTTACATTTTAAGGTCTCGAAAGGATAAAACTGCCAGGTTTAGCTAATTCTGAGGACTAAATGTTTGACTTGGTCAAAAACACTCGTAAATATGGTCAGAGTTCATGTCTCTACAGAGACTAGTGTACATCTCATAAGTTTGTGCTAGCTGGTAAGGCCACAGCAATATTAGCTGGTTCTGTTGCAGCTAAAATTGTAAATGGTCCAGATATGTCCTGAATGTTTAAAGTCCATGTCAAAAAAGTGGACTTAAAACAGACGTAGATAAGTTTAAGGTGCTCAATGGTTGCACACATGCTAAAACTTACCAGTTTAAGCCTTTGTAGCCTGTTTAATGTCCAGAAAACCTATTTTGAGATGACTCAAAGGAACACTTTAATGACATGTTGGCAATAAACTGGAAATTTGGCTTTAAATGTGAAGCTACAAAACCTGACAAAATGAACAAATGGGGTCTGAAAGGTTTGAAGTGACAAAATCCCAAAGCATAATTACCCAAGTTCCTTTAAAAAATGAAAGTGGTTTGATCTAAATGCTGTAAGTGTAATAATGCTGTAAGGTGGGAGGAGCTGTTTTTTTTTCTCCTCTTGTGTTAGTGACTTTAACCAGATTTTAACTTTCCAAATTTTATTTTCAGGTGTCTCTAAATAAAACATTTGAACAAAAAGGGATAGGCATTAATCGCAGGGTTTTGTTGTATATTAAGAACTTTTCCCATATATTTTTTTCATAGATTTAGTAAGATCTTGTTTAAGAAAATATAGAAAATGTCTATTTATTGGAAAACAAGAAATAATTTAAAGTCAAGTTCAGTATAGTGAAAAAAGAGGACATTTCTGTAATAATGGATAAAAAAATGTAAGTAAACTTAATAAATTGTGATGTTTTGATGAGTAAAAGTTAATTTTTCCCTTTTAGTCTCTCATTGTGTGTCTCTAATGGTCCATAACTCAATTAAACTTCTGGCTCAAATGCGTTTCTTGATCCCTTTTGAGAAATGATCTATAGCTTTTCTTCATCAATAAACCGTTTCTAACCTCAAATCTACTTAAAAACAAATACAAACATCAATACATTTTCACTCAAGTCCAAATAGATTTGAAAAAAAACATGGAATACTAAGAAATGAGGATGTGGAACTGAAATGAATTAGTACATATACTCTGTAACCTATAACCACAACTAAACATTTCTGGTACCCATCGATCGGTCCTGTATAAACACTCACTACTGTACACAGTAACTTCTGAGAAGATGTTAAGTTTCCCGGTTCTTCTAAACGGCCTGGACCCAAATTTCAGGATGAACGGGTGTGAAACACTCAGATTAAAAGCAAAAAGAGACAAAAAGCTCCTTTAAGGAAAAGATAACAATTCAAAATGAGCAAAACCAAAGAGGACTTACGACAACAGATACCTCTTAAGAAACATCACAAAGCTCCAATAAAGCAGGAAAAAGAAAACTCCAAATTAAGAAGACATAGAAAAGTTGCCAAGGTGTAATTTAGTGTCACTTGTGTGAATGTCTTATTAATAAATAATATCCTTCTGCGATAATTAAAGTATTTCTGATTCTGATTAATATCTAACATTTTTTGTTTCAGACAAAATAAAAATAACGACTATCAGCAGATGAAAAAGCTTTAAAAAAGCTTTAATTTGGTCTCATCTCCACCAAAAAATGTCCGCTTGTAGGAGCTGGGCTTTTTCTTTCTGAATCTAAACAGACTGTCAAAGAGACTTCTTTCTCTGATGAATTGTAGTAATTGTTAGGTCAGATGACCTGCTTTTGTATAATCTGTCTCTTTATTTAACATTTTAAAATACACGGTGCTCATCATGCTCGTGAGGAAAATGTGAGATTTACAGTTTAGATATGGCTAAAAGACCTTTAGATGTTTTATGTTTTCCGTTTGAACCCATTTTGAACCCACACTTATCGATTAATCAAACCTTTTAGAATGAAAACTTCACAAAAATCTACTAAAAAATCAGGAAATCGGGAAATGTTGCAGCAGTTTAAAGAAAAAAAGGAAATAAATCAATTTAATCGACTTCAGCTCGTGAAAGATTGTAAAATAACAGCCGAAGATCCACAGAACAAAACATATTTTTTTCTGTGTAAAGGCCAAAATCTGTGTAAATATCACATCTTCTTTACTTTACTATCGACCCATCAGCTTCATGACTTCCTGTGTGTTCCAACATGATGATTTCAACTTATTAGTCGGCCACAAAAGATTGTGGGTGGGAGGGAGGGGATGATGGGAAGCACCGAACCACATATTACCTTCTTCTTACAGAAAGCAGAAAACTGTATTCCCAGAACACGCGTAGCATTATGGGATGTTGACCATTTCTTTTAGAAACCAGTTTCCTGGAGAAAATATAAGTTTAAATGAATTTCAACAACTAGTAACAATCCAGAAACAGCAGGTTTGCATCATTTCTGAGGCCTAAAACACACACAGATCTTCAGTAAACTGCATTATTACCATATTATAGATGGTTAGGGATTATTAAAGTCAGTGTGAGAATATGAAAGAAAAAAACATTGATTATTGGAACAAAAGTTTAATGAGGACTCATTTTCATCAGCAGCTTTTGCAGACATCATGTGTTTGAGTTCAGAAATCTTATGATCTTTGTCTCTATATTTCTAATCGTTGCTATGTATAAACAATGACTCACATGTTGTAGATTTAAAAGGCAAAATCAAGTTAGAGCAATGGCGGTAGGTGGAGGATCTCTATCCACTTGCACTGGATGGATGTGTAATGAGGTCAGTCAGCACTTTGACACCATCTTTTGTTCCTTTTCTTCAATTATTAACCGGATGCTTAAAGGCCACTTAGCAAGCACAAAACCAAAGGCTATAACTCGTTTACAATAGAAACAATATGAACACACAGTGATAAGAGAGGGAACGATGAAGTGACACATTTAGAATTAATCAGATGAAGTAATCCATATTATTCCTGGGGTTTTTAGGCATTTTAGGGTATAATATGTCTAATGTGCTGAATCAGTACTCAGGACTACATGGTAATAATTTAAAGTTTTAGTTTAGTTTTAGTCATTAGCTGGGAGATAGGAGTTTTCTTTGGAAAAACTCTGTTTTGCCTTTTTATACTATATGAACATACCTGTTTGAATTTGCTTAAATAGATATTAGAATCTACTTCTGTTCTCCTGCCGTTACATAAAGAGGTTTAAAAAGACATTATGCTGCTAAATGTTTCATATCGTGTTGATAAACCTCAAATCGTTTTGTTTCCGTGACCCTTAAACCTTTAAAAACTTGTACAGTCCATCTGGTCTCTAAAGGCTCGTCTTTCTGTTAGTTTAATCAGTTTTAGAGAGCAAACTCGCCGGATTTATTTCCACCCACCAATCGGATTAAAGCAGGAAACAAAGGCCTATCAATCAGACTGACATCATCAGTGTCTCAGCACTTAAAGGCCATCGAGTGATCGATCCACACACTGATGTCTTTGCCTAATAGCTCATTGAAAAGTACTTTGACCCCCCATATAAGGCATGTCTCCTCTGATTGGCTGAGCAGAGCTTCCTCAAAGTTCCTCACAGGAAATGTTCATAACTGTGAGTTGTTTGGGGAAAATTGATGTCATGTATGTTGACATAAAAGCGTGTTTTACGGGTGTTCTGGTGTTGGAGTTGTTTGATTTTTGTAAAATTAAAAGTACAAGTTTAAAAGCAATTCAGATTCAATAAGAAGGTTTAAGTCAATTTGAAATAGGAATGAAATTAAATCCACGATTGATACCAATGTCATTAAGAGGTCCTCTTTATTTGTTTTTTTCTGTGAAAGTGTCTAGTATCAAGTCATGCACCAGAGTATACATTTTCTGGTCGCACAATACTGGTAAATTGTAAAATATTTTGTATAGTTTTCTGGTCTGACGTCTCCAGTGGGATCCCTGCCTCTTACAGTTATAAAGAGACTTGTTTCCTTCAAGTCTCTTTCTAACTTTAAATTTTTTCCCATACAGACGGAAGGAAACTAAGATAAAAAAAATATTACTGTAGTATCCTGCAAAGATTTATGCTTTCATACGAATGGATTTGTTTCTACTCTGAAAGGCATTAAAAATGTTTTAACATTTTTTTAGAACCTGTTTTGTTTTCTATCTAAATCAAATCAAATAAAAAGTTAATTTTTTAATACTTCTATGACTGCCCAGCCACAGTAGTGACTAAGACGTAGGCAAATTATGCACATACTTCCAATAAGAGAATTAAAAATGGAAAGAGTAGTTTCCCACCAGGTAGAGATATAAATTGACCAAAGTCTAAGAGTCCAACTTGTCCATAGTTGTGCAATTTATGCAGAGGGTTGTGAATATTGTACACATGGACCTTTACACATATATCTAAATACATTTACAATACACACAAGGCCTTACAAGATGAGAAAAGATGATATATTTTGAGGTATTTGACCTCCAGCTCCTGGTAAGAATTTGTTTCCTTGTATCAGAACAAATGGAAACCAAAGCATAAAGTATTTAACAGGTCTATAATTCCTTCTATCTTGTACGACTTTAGATGGCAGAGTTGGGAAGGGTTAAAGTAATAAGCTGTCAGAGGTTTTGAGGTTTTGAAATCTGACAGGTTGGTGGTCCGTCCAGAAGAAGAAAAAGAAGAAGAAGAAGAAGAAGAAGACTTTATTGATATCAACATGGAGAAATCCAGGTGTGCAGCAGGTGCTGGGGCAGTTCACCAGATTATTCCTGGGGGGCAGTGTTGCATCACTGAGAGCGTTTTTTCCCGCTCCTTTATCGACTTCCAGCCAAGAAATAAGAAAAAAAACCAGCCCCTTAAGGCAGGGCTGTGCAGAGACCACTAAAGGGGCAGGTGCTCAAAAAAAAGGGCACATCTAATCACATTTTAGGACAGAATATTAACAAAGTCACATAGCTTTCAGAGTTTA